CTTGTAAATCACAGCTACAAAGGGAGGGGGCACAGATTCGGGGAGTGACTTCAACCCCCCCCGCCCCAGCGAGTCAGTGACACAAGAGAAGGAGTTAAAACCCTAGGGCCCTGACACCCGTACCCCATTCCTACCACCAGACATGATATGGAGAAGTTAAATGATTGTGCTAGAAATTTCATCTCGAGCGAGGCAGCTGGGAAGGGCTTAATACAGACATTCTGTCAAGGTTTAAGGCTCCAAATCTTGCTTCCTTCAAAGCTCTTTTTCCTTGGAGGGCTTTAGTGGTCAAATTTTCCTCTAGGTGCTGTAATTCTCTCTCAAACTGCTCGGTGAAGCTGTAAAATCACGGGGGTGGGTGGGGGAATCAGAGGACTCTGGCACTGTGGCTCTGTTCCCAGCTCTGCCGGAGGTCTCGGAGCAGCAGCGTGCTGGCCACTTGCCCGTGGGCACCCTCCGAGGCGCTGGGTGCACACCTAAACAAACCAGCCACAAGCATCTGCTGGGCACGGGAAATGGGGTTTTGCTCCTGGCAGCTCGCTTCGGTGTTTGTTTGCAGCAAGAGCCAGCGCACAGGCTGGACCGTTAGTGGGAAAGGCAATTTGCAGCCATGTATGAGGAAACAGCAGTGGAAAAGGAATGCCGAATCCACCACAAGAGCTGGGATGCTTCACAGAGGCTCTTCCCCTGTGGTGGTCAGTACCAGCACTTTCAGAGAGGATATAAGAAAGGTCAGCAGATGCTGTTAGGTGACAGGTAACAGTCTGCAGCTAATATCCTGAAATTTAGGGGTTAAGATCTCTCTGGGCAGAGATGATATCCCACCTAGATGATAGCCCATGGAAGGAGAGCCACAAGCCAGATAGGCAGTGGGAAGGAAGTGCTCTTAGGTAGCCAGGAGGACCTGGGGATGCTGACTCTCAGAGTTACTGCTGGCTGCTCAAGAAAGAGCAGGAACAGTCTGACTTTGACTGCACATACACCTCACCAACATGGGTTCAACTCAACATGTGCTCCTCTCTTGCACAACCCCTTGCAAGAGGCATCCGAGGCAAGGGGGAAAGGTAAGGTGAGAGCATGAAACTGAGGAACGATGCTGTGGGGAACTGCATGCTGCTGACAGACTCCTGGGCAGTCACGAGACTGGACAGAGTCCATCGTGTTGTCCGTACCCCTCAGCAAGACATCCCTGGTGCCTGACCTGCCTGAAACATGGCCTCTGGGTACGGTGGGGAGTACTGCAAGGGAAGCTCTGGGCTCACAGAGGTTTAGGACATGACTGACTCAGACCCATCTACGGAACGTGCCCTCCTGAGTGGCTCTGGTGTGAGGTTTCCCCTCATGGTAACCCAGGACAACAGTGAAAGTATAGTGAGCAATGCCTCGCCCACACTGGTGAACAGGACCATGGAGCTGTGGTCTCTAGCTCAGCAAGAGCAAGGACATACTCCATCCCTTCCCATGGGCGTGATGCATCATATGGAAACCATATACACCAGTATGGAAACTTCTCCTTAGTGAAAAATTTCTTTTCCATCGCTCCTCTTCCTCCTGGTGTCTCAGACATGTCATCAGAGAAGGATGCTATGGATGTCCAGGACTCTCCTTGAATTCCAGTCCCTTCCCAGAGCGTGGCCACTGGGTGTGCTTTCTGCAAAGGAGATGGCCTTTCACCACCTTTTTGCTCCTCTGCCTTCTGCAAAGGACAGGGATGAGACAGCTCAGCAAGAGCAAGCTTCCTTCACCTTGACCTCAATGGGCTCAATGGGCTACCTGGCTCTCAGCAGCATGAAGATGGCAAGGCACAAAAGGCTATCATAAGCCACGGAGCGAGCATCCAAGCTTGCAATCAGGGACAGAAACTGCATCTGGGAGGAGACAGTATGGTTGCCCTTGCACCTTGCAGAGGCCACAGGACTTCCTGAAGACACCAAGCAGCTATCTCAGGCCCTTCTCCACAGCCAGGGGTTGGCAGAGCCCAGCTTGCTGTCACCAGCTTTCCTAAGCAAAAGGCAGTCAGGGTTGGATAGAAATCTCATCCTGAGGCTCACTGTGCGGGTTTGTCATCTGCTTGTCCAAGTGTCTTGTCCACAATGGCATACCACCATCGATTGGAATGCTGTGGAGCTACGTGGTGCTCAGCACTGCCCTCCAAGCTGCCTTCACAGAGAGGGAGCCCAGGCAGCGAGCAGATGTGTTGGCCAGAGCCCCCGAAGCTCGCAGCCCTCGCTTGGCCACCACTGCCTCCGTCAGCTCCGATAATAGAAGAACCTGATACAATAATCCTGCATTCATCACATCCCATGTTGAGTGATTGGATTTTCTTTGACATATTGCCATGAAAATTGACCCAGTGCGGTGAGTGACAGCTCTTCAGGGGCAGGCAAGCAGCGAGCGAGGAATATGCGTTTACATCTGGGCTTTTATTGCCAGGAGAGACATTTGCCAGGGCAACGGCAGGGAAAGGATGGGAGCAGAGCCAGGAGACAGAGCATGGGGTGGAGTTAAATACCCTGCTCCCAGCTGCACCCCAGGAAGAGCCTTAAACCAGCAGTGACTGCCCATGATAGTATATACAAAGGTCCCAAATGAGTCCTAAAGCCACCAGTGACCACAAAGGTAGCACCTTTGGTAACATCAGCCTGCGCTCCCCCCCAGTTCCCTTGTCCCTGAGTGGAACCAGCCTGCCCCTGCCTGTGCTGCTCCCAATGGATGGGGAAGTGCAGCCCCTTTCTCATGCACTGAGCTGCTGGAGCTGTTGGCCCTGTTATTGGCACCAGGAGAAGAACTGGCCAGGGAACCTCATGGCATTCCCCACAGTCCCCAGGACTCCTTCCACCAGTGCCCAGGATGGGAAATGTGACACGGCACCCGTTCCAGCTCTTCCCAGGCAATGCCTGCCAGACCTCCAGCGATGCCTGGGCACGGGCTGCAAGCCCACCTAGGGGTCTTTTCTCCATCTCTCCACCGGGCCCCCTGTTAAGGGTGGCCCAGAGGTCCAGCTTTGTCCCCAGCAGGGCTTTCTCAGAGGGACTTCACATCCTGATGGGCTATTCCCACCCCGTGTTGCGGACGCTTAGTGGGCACAAAGGGAAAGAGCAGCCTTCATCTCCCCACCACCCTCCTCCTCAATCCCATGCGGTTACAAAGGAGCCTTTAATACCAAACTCAGGTGAAGGTGACAGCATGTGCCTTCCCATGCCACACAGGACTTGTCTCCCAGCAAAAGCCACCTAGAAATAATGAATCCTCCTGGGCTGAGAGGCTTTCAAGCTCTCTGAGAAGGGAATGAAAGATTTCCTGATTTCACCCTCTCCCTCCCTGCTCTCCTGGCTTCTTGAAGTTAATGTTCTTAGCCCCAGACGTGATGGGCAAAGGGAAAAGATCCATGTGGTGACAGGGGACGATTGATCTCTTTTACATAGAATAACGCTCCAGTCCCAGTTTAATCCCCTCGCTCAAGGCAAATGGGATTCTTTGTCAATGGAAACTTCAAAAGCCCGGCCCTGCCGCGAGATGGACCTTCTTCTTTATCTGGTCTCTGTCAGTCACTTGCTGCGTTTCCCTCCAAACAGCTAATCTGTCTTCCTAGCCGTCCCTCTCCCTCGCAGGCAATGTGTTTGGGACCGTTGAGTTATCTACACTCAGACCTGACGAGGAGGGAAAGGGAAGCTTGTGGAATTCAGGCGCTTTCATTCTGTGAGTGCCCTTTCCAGTTCCTTTGAGACGTCCCAAAGGCAGCATCACCCTCCGTGGATTATCAGCTTGGGGATCGCTTTCTGCTCTGCTTGTTTTTCATGGGAGAAATAGTCAGGTCTCCACTTTCCTCCCAGTCTCCCCCAGAACAGGGCACGGGAGACAGGGAGAGTCACGCAGGAGATAGGAATGCCAAAGGTATGGAGCACTAGGAAGTATCACTGCTATCTTTATTTTCCCTTGTGGGATTTAGGAAATTGTTAGGTTTATTTCGGCTATATGCCTACCCGCCAGGAACTTGGGTCAGCACGGTGGCTCCCTGGCCCCTTACTTCATGGGACAGACAAGGTGTTGATGTGCTTGGCAAGACACCCAGTCCCAAAGGGAAAATGTAGAGCTGAAATGTCAGTCACCGTTTCTAACATCACACGCCAAAACCAACCCAAAGCTTCCAGGAAAAAAAAAAGGGGAGAGCAAGACCTGAAGTAGATTCTATTAAAACAAGGACCAAAACCTCCTGTGAGAGATGCCCTCAGCTTCCCTGGAAGCCAGGAGCCTCCCTGTCACCAGAAGCGTAGGAGAGCCCAGACTACGTGTCTTTGCCCACCTTGGGGAGCACGGCATGAGTTTCAGAGGCCGTGCAATGCCCAGCTGCCCTGCAGTGCTCCCTGCCACCCCTTTTCCTGCCCAAGCTCTGGTCCTTCCCACCACCATATCATACAAAGTCCAGCTAACAGTGATACTAATTAGTAAATGATGCCCTTTGCAGTGATGCCATGATGCTCTGTGCATTGAGTATTTTTGCATTCTGAGCCAAAGGGATGGGAGGTGGTCCTAGGGAGGAGGATGCGGCTGAGACGGGGTCTTCTAGGGATTTGGGCCCCTCCTTGGGTGTGCTTCACTCCCCCTGAGGCAGTCCCACTCCCCCCTTCCAAAGCTGGCATATGGCTCTGGCTCCAGGAACTCCCGCACATGATTTCCCAAGCTGAGCTCAGTCTGTGTGTGATCAGCTCTCATTAGCTGTCATTAGCCACAATCTGGAGTCCCGGAGCCCGCCGGGTCCCTCAGCTCCACCGTCCCTTGGCTGCACAGGGAATGAGAGAGCCCCATGCGGGGACTTGGCTGCTCCAGCCCAGTGGATGAATGGGGAGAGCGTCATGCCCCTGTGCTGGCCTGGCCCCAAAGCGTGGCCACCTTCCTAAGGGACACTGAGTAGCAGGACAGGGAGCGGGCTGGGAAGGTGAGAGGGTATAAAGAACATCCCTTGGTGGGCGGGGATAGTGTGCCAAGTTGTGCTCACTTACCTTGGGGGTGCCCGCTGCCATGGCATCCTTCAGGATGGAGCTCTTGCTGCCAAGAGAGAAGAGAACGGGGTCAGAGTCACAAGGCAAGAGGGGAAACGCTTTGTGGGATCTCGAGAGATCAAATAACACATGGCTCCCCCTTCCCAGCCCAACGAGAGCCTCCTCACCCTGGCCGGAGGGGCACGGAAAGGAGGGCAGCACCCACTATTTCTCCAGCTGGGATAAAATGGTCCTACGAGTGGAGTCCCCAAACCCAGAGACACGATGCAGAGTCAAATCCTGACTCTCTCCCCCTCTCCCAGTCCTGGGGTGGAGTGGGGGGCAAACCTGCAGGGGCAGGGGGAAGAAAGCCAAGGAGAGGGGAGTGGAGGTGGCGAGCCCTGTGTAGGGTCAGGCGCAATAAAAAATTAAAAAAAAAAAAAAAAGGTTTTATGGGAACTTGAACCTTTGCCTGAGTCCTGACTCAGAGAAGCTGGATCTGGAATAGACAGTAGCACTCACCACCTCAACCCACCTATAAAAAGAATCTTAGGGATAAAGAAACAACAAAGACTAAGGGGTAAAAAAAAAAAAAAAAAGGAGGGAAGGAAAAAGAAGGAGATTAAATTGGCGTAAGAGCAAGGGAAAGAAGATCCCCTCAGCTCCAGCCGCGCCGTGGAGGCAGCAGCTCTGCCGGAGGCTGGAGTGATTTGTTAATTCAGCTTGTTCCCCATTTAGCAGGGAAGGAGGTCCCCGCCACGGTGCTCCTCCTCGCCTGCCCTCGCCAGCGGGAGATGCTATAGATTTAATAACACCTTCCCCCCCTCCAGACAGGTTAAACTTGAAACAATTACATATCAAAGCCGACATGGCGGGGAGGCCTGCACTGTAATTTTTTGGTTATTAAAGTAATCTCTCTCATGTAAATTCTCCTGCTAACATGCTGCAAACAGCATTAGGAAATAAATTATTTCCCCATGATTCGATTTGTCAATGCAAAGCACCTGCAGCAGGCAAAAGGCTCTTGAAATATGTTGCCAAGCCCGGTGCCTGTGCTTGTAAGTGCACGCCGGTGGGGTGGCTGGCTCCCAGCTCCCCATAGCCCCGGGGAGATGATGGATGGGTGGGTGGAGGGGGGAGGTTAGCGGGGGGAGGCGGAGGCTGGGGAAAAGGGGGTGGGGGGGAGGAATGGAATTGTGTTTAATAACAAAATTTGTATGCAAGCCTGCATCCCAGGCTAAGGATGAGTGATCGGCAGCCAGAAAGTATTAAAAAGCCTCGCTAAACAGATGCTGACAATAGAACAAGACATATCAAATCAGATCTACTTCAGAAACATTAATATACACACGCACACACGCTCGCCCGCGCGCGCGCGCCCGGCCCCGCACACCCGCGCTCCTTTCTTCTCAATCACAGCAATATGGGAGACATCAATAAATTTTTATGAGACTTTTAGAAGATCAACACGGTACTAGATGTGACAAAAAAGCAATGTGCCTGTCATGTTCGCTTTGTCGGGGACACTTTAGCCCCAGATGCCGAGCTGCAGTGGCAGCGGGGAGAAATTGAATTTGGCTGGCTTTAATCTGCCTTGATTTGGCAGATGGCTGGGTGTTATGAAATGAGCAGGGATGGAGGAAGGTGTTTTCTCCCGGGGCTACGGACCCCTCCTCTCCCAGTGCCACCGCCCTCGCCTCTCACCCCAAAATAGGGGGGAAACACACCGTTATCCATCACCATCAGGTCACTCCAAAGGCACGGTTCTGCTCCCGGAGCAAGCGGCTGCCATTCCCGGGGACCACCGATCGATGGGCTGGGGCATCTCCTCCTTTCCCTGGGGGGATGAGCTGCTGGGTGCTTGCTGGGGGGTGCAGGATGCCCCCCGCCATGCCCTGTGCCCCAGCTTTGCCCCCCAGTTTTTGGGAGGCAGTGGGGAGCAGAGTCAATCCCCGCTGCCCCCAGAGATGCAGCCCTAGCACCACCTCCAGCCTGTGCCCAAACACCTCTGATGGGAAGGGTTTCCACCCCCTCCCCGTCTCCAGTGCTACCTTGAATTTCTCAGTCACCCAAAGTGTGAAACAACTTTTTTTTTTCCCTTTTATAATCCAAATGCCAGGTTAAAAAAAACAACTCATTTCCTCCCTTTTCTTGTTAAAGGTGTTTAAAATTATTCCTTTTCGGGGGAAAGAGGAAGAATCTCATTAATTCCTCCCAGAAATGGTGTTAGCGCCAGGAAACTGCAGTTTTCAGGACAAGAGTCTCTGATCAGCTGAAAGGCCAAGCTTTGGCTGTTGGGACTGATAGGGAAGGGGACTGATTTAGATAACTTGGCAGAGTTTATTTTATTATTCACTTGGAGGATTATTAAGAACCACCCTCCTCCTTGCAATTTAGCCCCCCTTTATTTCTAATAAGAGTTTGCAATTTGTTTTTATTCATTTCCAGGGATGAGTCAGGAATGGGCACAAGCCCTGGTCATAATTTCAGGGTGCTTTCCTTCATCCCACTAAACAACTCCCTGAATTACAGTGGCTGCAGCCCCCCCGCTCCTCTTAAGGATGCCAGCAGCGGGCTGAGAATTGAAAGGCCGTCAGCAAAGAGAAACCCTCCCCTCCATAAACACGGCAGACAAATTAAAAATGGTAAAAGGGAAATCAAGACCTTTAAAGTTCAAACACTTTTCGGTGCCTTTTAAAGTTTTTTCGCTCTAGGCCCTTGCAGAGAGCACAATCTTTGGAGACCTTGGGATTCTCTTTAATCACCCAGCCAGGCTGCAGTGGTCTGAAATGATTACACATTTACATAGTAATAACCCCAACACTCCCCACATTATTTCATGGCTAGCATATTTCCACTCGGCGAGTGATCCATGTGTTTTAAATTATAACCTGTACATAGGAAATTAGTTACTAAGTACGATATTCACGGGCTCGTCTGACACTTCTAATTAAGGTGATTTACACAGAATTATCCTACGAAATAAAAAAATGGTGTTTTGCTAGCTAATAAAATATAATTACTACCCGCTTTTATAAGTTACAGTTAGTTTTAATCTATTTGGGGAATTGTTTATCTAGTTCATTACAGCAAAACAACTTCTTTCCCTTTTAGACACCCCCCCCCAAACTACCAAAGAAGACAAGAAACACCCTGGAAAGACCCAGCGATTTGGGCAGCCTCCTTCTCTCTCTCCTGATGGGTTTGCATTTCCAACTGATATGAGGCTGCTTCCTCCCTAGTTCCCTTTCTCAGGGCTGTGGCACTGGTTCTGGCCATGCCTTCGTGCATCCTCACGTGTTTGAGTGCCCCGTGCCTCTGTGGGACCATAAGGTCCCTGCTCTGGTGCTGCTGGAGGGCTCTGCCCAGCCCTGCAGCTGTGTCACCCATTAACCTTAATGGGGAGATGCACAGCCAGGTCCCCACATGCCCTGGGGCACTCATTGGGGTCCCGTCACTCCTCTATATTAGAGCACATCAGCTTTAAGAGGAACATTTCATCTCAGCAAGGCCCTCCACAATGAAAGCAAGGCTCAGGCTACATCACAGACACATAGATGTCTTTTAAAGTTAGGCAGGGATCTGGTTAGGAGCATCCCCAGATGCAACTGGGAATCCCCTGGCATCTCCCTGAGACAGACCCAAGGGGCTGTTCAGACCCAACCCTTCAGTTGTGATGTCCCAAAGGGCAAAGGACAGGTCAGTACGTTGAACATGTCCCTCCCTTACCCATAGTCTTGGGGTTTCTCTACCCCTGCCATGGTTGCTGTTACACACAATGACCTTCAGGTTTAATTTTTTTTTTGTAGTCCTGCCTCTTGGGGTGTGCTTGCCATAGGAAAAAAAACCAAAACAATATGCAGGGAATGGTGCCTTATCGTCCCTGTGAATGGAAGTTGCTGCCTCCTGCATGGAAAACCCAGGCCATGAGCTGAAAGTTAAGTGATCTCATTGTGTTCTGCCATGAGCAAGGTGGTACTTGTGCTTTTCCTTTAAGCCTTTGCTCTTGAAAGCTGCTGTAGGAATCTCAGCTCTCCTCCAAAAGAAACGAGAAGTATTCTGGGTGCCCAAGTCCTCAGACAAGCAGAAGCCCTACTCCCCATGGGAGATATCTCATCAGCTGCCAGGCAGAGGACCACAACCCAGGGTGTGCTCTTGGTACCCAGAGCCCACCAGATACATTCAGAGCTCTCATTGACCCTCCAGACCAGGCAAAAGCCTGGTGCCAGGCAGCTGCCCCAGGGAAGCAGACTGGCCATGCATTTGTGCATCCTCACGTGTTCGGGTGTCCTGTGCCTCTGTGGGACCATAAGGTCCCTGCTCTGGTGCTGCTGGAGGGCTCTGCCCAGCCCTGCAGCTGTGTCACCCATTAACCTTAACGGGGAGATGCACGGCCAGGTCCCCACATGCCCTGGGGCACTCATTGGGGTCCCGTCACTCCTCTATATTAGAGCACATCAGCTTTAAGAGGAACATTTCATCTCAGCAAGGCCCTCCACAATGAAAGCAAGACTCAGGCTACATCACAGACACGTAGATGTCTTTTAACGTTAGGCAGGGATTTGGTTAGGAGCATCCCCAGATGCAACTGGGAATCCCCTGGCATCTCCCTGAGACAGACCCAAGGGGCTGTTCAGACCCAACCCTTCAGTTGTGATGTCCCAAAGGGCAAAGGACAGGTCAGTACGTTGAACATGTCCCTCCCTTACCCATAGTCTTGGGGTTTCTCTACCCCTGCCATGGTTGCTGTTACACACAATGACCTTCAGGTTTAATTTTTTTTTTGTAGTCCTGCCTCTTGGGGTGTGCTTGCCATAGGAAAAAAAACCAAAACAATATGCAGGGAATGGTGCCTTATCGTCCCTGTGAATGGAAGTTGCTGCCTCCCGCATGGAAAACCCAGGCCACCAGCTGAAGGTTAAGTGATCTCATTGTGTTCTGCCATGAGCAAGGTGGTACTTGTGCTTTTCCTTTAAGCCTTTGCTCTTGAAAGCTGCTGTAGGAATCTCAGCTCTCCTCCAAAAGAAACGAGAAGTATTCTGGGTGCCCAAGTCCTCAGACAAGCAG